AAATAATTCAAAGCACCAAGAGAGAAAAACGAAACCCAAAAAGGGTTACTTGATACTAAAAATCTTTTCAATCTTTTGCATATTTTGTAAATAGAGCGTAAGAATGACAATAAAATTAAAAAGTTTTAAGACCATTAAAAACAAACAATATCTTTTTTATTTTTTTTTCTATCTTAATAAGCTTTTTCTTTAAGAGTTCCAAAAGTTATTAAACTTGTCAGCTCTACTGAAATTTGTCTGTTGCCACCTATTGCAAAACTGTATATAACTTAAATTACGAAAATTATCTTTAAAATATGCAAAATACTGAACATCTGACAGCAACAGCACAGAATCAATGATAATAAATATGATAAAGTAATAATAAAGTATAATTTATTATCTTATTGTATTTTATACAGCTCACTCTGAAACACATTTTTTTCGTTTGAGGTTCTTGAAAAGCCTTCTTGTTTGTCATATATACTTAAAAAAAACGTCTCTACATTTTCTACTCATAATTTAATTTCATCAATTTCAGCGCATTGCATTGTTTTACATGCAATATGACTATAACGTAAATCTTTATCAATGGGAATACATCATGTCAAAACTAGATTTTTGAAATGATTCAGTAATATTGCTTAAACTTACAACTATAATTAGAAGAAGCTAGTTTCATTAAAACGTCATTACCATTTTATTTAAAAGTTCACCTTCTAAAATAATCGACCTAAAACCAACCTGATTTATCTGTCTTTTCGCAAATTAAGGTTGTTTTTTTGAGACACCATATATACCTGTATTTGTTTACTTTCAAAAATCGACTAATTACTTTCAAAAGCTGTAAGATTTCTGTTGGAAAAGTTAGGTTTTGAGAAATAACACTAGAGCAGCTCACATCAGCTGCATTAGAACAATTTTTTTCTATAAAATATCTGGTAACCTTCACGAAGTACGACTTTTTTTTCATATACCTCATTTAAAATTACTCAGCTTTAAATTTCAAATCGTTAAACTTTCGTTTGTTTCTTTCAATTCAAAAAAAAAAAACTTTATGTAAGACAGCTAGTCAAATTGCTCAACCTGTTTCTCATGCATGATTTATTAGGAAACAATAGTGGCTCAATTTTTGAGTTATTGAAAAACTGAAAATTAAATAAGGTGACTCAGGTCGAGTTTCTTTAACTAAGTGTAAAACTATGCGTGTCATTATGCCACGGATATATTGAAAAATAGTTTGCTTTTTTTTCACCATACTGCTTAATTCTGCTATACCTTCTTTATTAAAATTTTTACAATTGGTTATCCAAATATAGCAAGAATTACTGAGAAAATTAGACATTGCATGTTGTTTGAAAAAAGAACAAAAGGTAAAATCCAGTTATTTTGCTATCTCAAACGAATACAAAACGTCTTTATTTTGTTGCTCAGATGCGACAAAAGTCAACGACGAGAAACTGATTACTAATTTACGCATGTCCAATAAATCATGAAGGAAAAATTTGCGTTTTTTCCTCACATATTCCTGCTTCACTCTCCTCCATTCTCTCACAGACCTTCTTCACATTTCGGACTAAAGTTAAGGTACTTAGTCGACAAAGTCAATTTAAAACAAAAAGATCAATTAGCTGCAAAGAAAAAAGGAGAAAAAAAAGTATATAAATAAACATTGGGAAGCGCATGCGAGCAATTTCCTGAACACCACTTTCAAATTCCCGCATTTGGGAAAAGGCCGACGATCAAAGTTCACACGGCTTTTGCAAAGATGCCGTGATTCAACCGTAGTCGTTTTAAAGTCACAGTTTTACTGGTTGTGCCGATAAGTTTACTGCTGTCACTTGCAAACGAAGACATCGTCCGGTTTTTGCCTTCGCTCTAAGTTCGCCAATATCTAGCATGATACCTCAGTAAACTTAAGTGTGTCAGCTGGTAAAGTCAAAATTGCCTCAATTAAGATTCAGCAAATTATTATTATATTTTTTTACAAAATCACCTTTTTTTATTGTAGGTTATGCCACAATATCTAACGGATTTTTTATTTAAATTAGTTTAAATAGTTCTTTAACTAGGAATCTTTCTTTTTAGTAGGAAAGCGACGTATTTAGAAACTTGTTGACTTGCAATTTTTTCCTCTTGCTGGAAGACGCAGTAATTTTACCTTACTTTTAAATGTTAATCTCAGACAGCAGGGCTCTCTTATCAAAGTATGCACTTTTTACAGTGATTTTTTGTAAATGAGTTTTTTCAAATAAGACATGTCAGTTTCAGATGATAGTTTGGTTCATAAAATTTAATGAATTCTGCTTGTCTGCTGTAGGAACAGAAAGAATCTTAGAAATTCAAGCTTCAGCGGTCAGTGCAGATTATTTTAATATAAGGTCTCCGACGAGACAAAGCTGAGGAAGGAAGGGTGAAGACCTTTTTACAGTTTGCTGGCAACAGTTGGTTTGTTGTCAAGTCTACTGAAACTTTCCTGTGAAAATGATTCTGTGCATAAATTCTTCAGAAAACTGTACATAAACTGGGATTAGAAATTTTATGTCTTAGAAATAAAGAAAAGATTTTTACAAGCAAAGTTACTATTAGGTGATTATCATAAACCGTAATAATGTTACCAGCCCAGAAAATAGCTGTTCTGTTCAAAAGTTTTTAAGAAATAATTCACAAATTTCAAAATTTGGGTTGCTAAAATAATGCTTTTCCAGTGTTAAATCGTACAAAAATGCAAATACAACGTTTGGATCTATTAATTGATCCTAATCAATGAGCATTTTGGATAAAAGCAGCCAATAGTTATGAAAACTGCATATGCAACGAATTTCAAAGTCATCTGTGGTTAGGAGTCATAAAGTTGTAAGCACTGTATTATTGAAACAGCAGTGCTTTGAAGGCAGCAAAAGAGTAACATTAAAAGGAATTGAATTTGGCGTCATACGATTGTAAAACACAGCAAACGTCTACTGCACGCTGCACCAGAAAACAACCTTTGCTGTGGAAAACTACAAGGATAAAAACGACATTGTAGTGTTACAAAGTTACAAAAAAATATTTAGAAAAGTCTGGAACTAGTGTGGCTGTATTAGGCGAAATTAAGAACTCACTATACGAAAATGAACATGTGGTGATGCTTAAAGAAAGCATGTTTAGGAAGTTGGGGGGTACGTTTCACCGTATAGCTTCAATTCTGCAACAGTTACGCATTGTATACTTGCACTTCTGCAGGAAGATTTGCTGAGACAGACCGAGCACTAGATAATTACACTCAGTTTTTTGTAATATTCAAATAGTATGCTTTATTGTTTTTTTTCATCAGTCAAAACAAATGTGCTCTGTTGTTGACAATTTAAAGTTTAAAAGAATTACGCCAACTTAATCTTAAAAGCAGAATAGAACAAAAAATTGAAAATTATGTAGTTTTGGCAACAGTTTGCAGAAAGAATTATTTACTTTGCATAAGTGTCTCTTTGCTAAAAAATTCAAGAGTAAATGACGCTTGACCTCGACAAGGTAGTGAAAACAGTTCTACTAATCACGAAAAAAGCTGAACACTTGTGCGACTGTGAATTAAAATCTTTATCTTTATATCTTTAATTAGATAAATAATCTTTTAGTGCAGTTATATCCGATTTCTGAGGGTAACAACTTATAGTTTTTAATGAAAATTTTGCGTCTCCAAGTTTGTTTTTTGATGCTGTTTGAGACATTAAGTTTCCCTTAGCTCAAGAATTGATAGGCAAAACATTTTTAAAACATTACTAGCTTTAAAAGAGTTTTTGGAAATATCTTCTTGAAAATGGGAAGTTCAAAGGCAAAAAATGCTATAAAATTGACAGAAAACTGTGAGTTATTTTAAATTGCTTACTTGCTCTAAGTTTCTAATCTTAGTTTTAATTAGTTTTCTCTCGCATTTATTTTAAAGAACTCAAGTTGCTTATTCTATTCTGTATTTTTTTGCAAGACTTTTGTTGAAACAAAAAAGTGCACAGCTAGAATCTCAATTTAATGCTATATTCATTCTAATTCTCCCACAATGCTGTTAAGAATTATCGCAGATTAATCAAGTTATTTGTTTGAAATGACGCTTCTAAAACTGTCAACAAAATACAGGTTTTTTTTTACGAAGACTCAGCAGGAAGAAATTTTCATCTCAATTATCACTTTAATGCTCATTTATCTGTTTCAGATTGAAAAAGCAATTAATGGTGTACAAAGTAAGGCTGCATTAAGAAGAAAGGCAGCTGTTACCGGAAGAACTGAAGCAACTATGTAAAATTTTAAATCAAGTTTACCATTTTAAAAATGCTTTCTTTTTTCTATTTGCTTCAAGTTTAAAAAGTAAACAGTTTTTGATAATAATTAAGTAATGCATGCAAACTTTTTGCTGCGCTTAGTTAACGTAAAATATTGCACAACAACAGTAATATTCTGAAGTATTATTGGTAATAATGTCGCTTTTATTTAATTTATTACTGAAAATTTGTGAGATTGTGAATTTTGAAACAATAAATAGACTACTTCTTTACAAGTTATAAAAGGAATATAATTTTTTATGTGTGAAAGCATTATAAAGTAATATTTAATTGCATTTTTTACCGCTTCAATTTGTTGTTAGTGGTACTGATAGCCAACTTTTTTATTTATTTTATCAGTTCAAAAATAGAGTCTTCTTTTTTTAATTTTTTTTAATGGTATGGTAGCACTGGTAAGCATTAGAACAAAGACCAATGTTAGATATCACTAGTAGTTGGCTGAAAAAAAAAAAAGAACCATTTGTCACTTACCACTAATTTGACCAGATAAGCCACAATTACGTAGCCGAAAGTTAGCATAAATATATAATTCACAAAAAAAAAAATTATAAAATAAATCAAAATTTGGACAGTCGACAACTAAAATATTGTATGAAACATAATTACATACTTCTTAAAAAATAAAAATTGTTAAAGAAACAAAACGTAAAATTTAAACTTGAAAATTTTTTAAAATTTTATAAATGAAATAAAATTTTTTTGTTAAAGATGGAAAACGATCAAGATTTTAGACTTGGTATCAGCCGGCATGCAACAAACGGTGTTGACGTTATATTCGGAATATCGTATCTGCAATCTATCGCACCAACTAGGTCTGAATTGAAAACATCGATAGACAAAGCTGAAACTTTACAGACCATGAATATCATTGGTACGTTTCTGAAGCGGAAGAAACAACCTGTCAGAAATATTTGAAGTTGTTGGCTTTTTCTGTCAAAACCGCAGCTCTAATTTACTTTTTATGCATAGTTATTGTCGATAAAGTTATCATCTTTTCTTTATAAACAGATTCAAAATGCATCTTTTTTGAATGACTTATTTGTAGACAGTTCTAACAGTACGTTTACAAGTGTTGAGGACCAAATGTGCAACGTAGTAAGCGAATATATACAACAGCAAACAACCACACAAGGTAACGGGCTAGATTTTAGTACACTTTTTTGACCTACTCTGTTAATCCTGGAATGTTTTGTTGGTAGTAACTGACTTTTTTGAGGCTTTAGCTTTATTTAAAGCTGACTTAATAACTTTTGCTTACGTAAATTTTCAGCTCCCACTCAGCCGACAGCAAAATCTTCAACGTTATCACCTACAACAACTGCAGTAGGCGGCTACTACATTAATTGATATAAATTTTTGTGAATTCATAACTGCTTTATGTGATATAGAATTGATGCACTTTAAGACAGAAATATACAAAATTTCATGTCGAGTGCAATTCGTTGTATAATTATATTTGGAATTCTTCATGTGCGGACCTATTTGAACCAGCTGACATCTAAACGTTTTAGTCTTGTCCTCCTTGCCCACCGTGTACTACCACTACTGTCACTACTCCAACACCTCCAACCAATTGTTCAAAAGATATTGTTCTGCTTATCGATGCATCAAATGCCTTGTCTCCTGCAGAGTTTAGCCAGGTAAATCATCAACAACCGTTACCTTTTCTGTCTGGTCAATTACTGCCACTTATAAAAAGCTTTAAATGCTATATAAACTTTAAATTTACATTAAAAAACTAATTCTTGTGCTTGTACCTTTTTGAAATTAATTTTAAAAATTTTTTTCAAAAAATTTTTGAAATTTTTTATTTGGTAGGCAGTCATTGTTTTATTGTGAACTATTTTTAGATGTTAAACTCAATTGGAACAGTCTTAGTTCGTCAATGGGCAGTCCCAACTGCAATCAATGTCGCAGTTTACGGATACTCTACTAAACTTGTCCAAGTTTCTTACTTTGATGTAAATTTAGATGAGCTTACGTTGGTAATTGTTAATAGTACTTTCCAAACCGGAGCAGATCCAAGCATTAAAAGGTATTATTAAAGTTTTGTTGAAACAAAGTAAGATTTGAACAACGCCATTAAGAAATTTACTTTAATTTGCAAGCTCTTTAGTGGTTTGCGTGGTGCCACTGAAGCTGCTCAGAGTCGAGAAAAGCCGGTTGTAACTATTCTATTTACGGCATCAAGGTATTCAAAAATCTGTTTTTTCTTTTTTTCAGGATGTTTTTAAGTAAATTACTAAGTTATAGTGATGCTACATGTACTAAACAATTTGTCGAAAATTAAGGTAGATTGAGCTTGTGTAAGAGAGTCATATTTTTTAATGTAAAAAAAAGGTATGCAGTTAAATTTATCCAGAACTTTTGCCTATTTTAACTATTTAGTATCACCGACGACGTTAACGCAGCAAAGCCGTTTGCTTCACAGCTATGGACAACTAATAATTCTGTTATCGTTGTAGCACTGAAAAACGCACAGAAAAACGTTGTTGGAGAGGTATTTTGCACTAACTAACGGCACAGCTGTCAAACTCAAAAACAGTTTGCATCAGCGAAATAAATATTTGAGCATAAACAGTTTTCAATCAGTTTTATCTTCTTCTATAATCATCAATTTAGTTGGCATCTGGAGACGACTTCGTACTTTACAGTCAAAACTTCGATTTTGATGGAGCGTTTGCAAGATCTATAACTGACCTTATGTGCAGAAGTCCTCCACCTCCACCTACAACTACAACGACGTATAATTAATGTTTAGCAAAATAAGCTGGCAAGCAATAATTTTGAACTGTTTGCAGTCAACATTACTTTTAGGACTTTGGCGACAACAACCACTGTTCATCCAGATCTAAGCTGTTTAACAGACATTGCAGTTTTGGTAGACGTGTCAAGCGCTGTTCCATCAGATAAAGAATATCAAAGTGTAACTGGATTTGTCATCAATTTTATCATTTTCTTCGTGATGAATAATAATGTGCTAAAAGTACTGTATGAATGAAGTATTTGCTTTTTTAGCAAATCGACTTTCTTCATCAGCTTTCTGCTGGATGGGACGTGAATGGAAATGCAACTGAAGCTGTCATAATGACCTATGCTTCTAGAGATGGACATATACTAGGCGGATTTCAGTATACTTCAAATGACCAGCTTTATTCTTCTATTGAAACATTGAGGAACAAGTTCTATGAGACCGAGCCAAGCCTAACTCTGTTAGTTGTCTATATCTCGCATTATTTCGAAGAGATTAAGAAAAGTTTAATTTAAAGATTTGTGATCTGTTAAAAAATTCAAAGAAAAAGCAAACATTCAGGTTATAAAACACACTAGTAAAAGTTGGCATTTATTGTACACCGATTTTAGCAACGTCTAAATCTAAAATCTTCTTTTACAAAAAATAAGATTTTAATATCAAAAACTGCTTTTTCAGAGGACTTGAACTGCTTACTGTACCTATAGAAAGAAACCTTACTCGGCCTGGTGCACAAATGGCCGCAGTTATATTCACCTATTCCAGGCAAACTACTTTCAAAATTTGATCATTTAGAACGCAAAGCTGATTGAGCATTTAGATAATTACTTTAAAAAAACCAACTGTTTGCTTCAAGACTATCGATATTAGCGAAAGGTATAGTTGTCTTGAGTTGTCTAATTTTTTCAGTGGCTACGACGATATTAAAATTGCCGTCGACGCTTACCTTAATGTCTTAGTAGCAAACAACACATGGATATACGTAGTCGGTATCGGAAACAATCTTGTCAGAAGTTACTTAGAAGCTTTGTCTGGAACTGTAATTCTTACGAATTCTTACAGCCAAGAACTGGCAGATAAGGTAGCCATTAATAAAGACTCTATGCTGCAGAACACATAAAGTTTCAACTGTTCACATAAAAATTTTATTACTAACAAAGTGGCAAACTTTACTTGAAGTTAAGTGCTATGCTAGAAATTTTAGGTTAACATAACAGACAAATGACTGATTGAAATAAGCATTACTTTTTCAATATCGTAGACCATTTAAGCTTAATTAACGACTGTCACATTTATCACTGTCGATAACTTCGCAGCAAAGCCTATAAACAATAGTGTAACCAAAAATTTTTTTTCGGAGCTTTTCAAGTGAGATTATAAAGTGTATTGTCAAATAAAAGTCTTCTGTTTTTGCAGGAAAAATTCTTCTCTTTTTTGTACAGATAAAGAAAAAAATTAGAACAGCAGGCTTTGCGAGTAAAATAGAAAAAAAGTTTTAAAAGAAGAGCGAAGATGTACTTGAAAAGTTTACTTTTTAAGAGTTTAATTTTTATTTAGATAACATAAACATTTTGTTTATAGCAAGTGCGAAAAAACACTAAAGAATAGGCTAGTATCAACAAATATAAGACCATTGACGGTTTTGTTTGAATTAGAAAATCTGAGCGTAAAACATAAAAAAATGGTTACTTAATCAAACTCAACAGAAGAAATCATGCTGTTTGCCAAAACATGTAAAATGTGAATCAGGCGACGACTGAACAATAACTTTCAAATACCAGAAAGTTTTATAGAGCATATAAGAAATATAAAGCTCTTTTGTTTATGTACTACTTCCTTCTCGGAATTCAATTATATTTTCTGGCACCTTACTTGCAAAAAAGGTTAAACAAAGCATCCTATTTATTGTTGTTGTTTAAAACCAAAAGAAATTGCTATCTTTTTAGTGGTATATCGATTTTTAAAAACAATATTGACAAAACCTATGTCTCTTTACTTCAAAAATTACTTTTAACGAGTTATTTTTGTTTAACAGTATTCTACAAAGTCAGTTTTACAATTTGAGAAGGTGCAGAAAGAAAAGATTTGAAAGTTTAGGACGAAAATGAACAAGAAATAAGAGAGAAAAGTTAAAGCAATTTTTGGCGACATGGTTACTTTATAAAATTTTTCAACTTACTGTATATTTCTAGATTAATCAAATGGTATGTACAAAGAATGAACCTGCTAAACAATTGCCACCTGCACCGACAACAACTACAGCTCCAACAACGACAACTGTGACAGTTCCTCCTCTGACACAGACAACAAGTCAGTCACCTACCAATTTTTTTGTTTTTATGCTGTTAAACGCCGAATCAATTTGGCTTTGCTAGGCGTCATTTATACAGCAGATGATTACAGTAACATTGTAGATTATACTATAGAAAAAAGAAAAAACCTTAATAAAATTGGTCAGTTAGTTAAAAAACTCTAAAACAATTTATTTAAAACTACCTTTTTAACATACTGGAGAAAAACTTCTAAAATAAAATAGCTCTTTGGTATGAAGTTACTTTAAAAACAGAATAAAAAAAAAGTTTTAAAATTTTTTAATACTTTAGTAGCATAAATAGTAACCTAAAAAAAATATGCTTTCTATAACTGTTCACTGTTCTGGTATTGCATAGAGGAATATCAAATAAAACCCGTTATGCAATGATCCCCGAACCGTGCTCAAGATTCTTAACTAATCAGGATAAAATTCTGATGTTGAGAAAAAATGTACAGCACTCATAAACAATTTATTTAGTTATAAAATATCTTCTAGCGAAAAAAAACCTTAGCCGCAGTTTTTTCAACAGTAAAAAAATTTTTGAAAAAAACAAGTTTGAACTAAAAGTTTATCACTAAAATTAGCTGACGTTGTACACGTAGGTTTAAGCATATAATTCAAATCTCATATATTATAGAGATAAAAATTAGAACGTATCACTAAGCCAAATTTTATGTTCTCTAATAACATACAGAAATTAGCACACAAATTTTTATTTTTTTAGCAGTTTGAACTTTCATTAGTTTTGCATTTTAAACAGCTTTCTGGTAATTTTATTTTTTCAGTGCTTATGTTCAAAATTATTTATTTGTTCTTCGTTTCTTCACATATCTTTTCTGACATAAACTTTTTTCTTAGCAAAGTTCACACAAGAATTTATTTCCGAGTGAAGTGAGTAAATGAAACAAAAATTAAGCTGAAAATTTTTAAGTAAAAAAAAAAAAACATTTGCAAGAAAACAGATTATCAGCAATAGACAAATTAACTCAAGTTTTACTGTTTTATAATGTATCTTGCCGTTTGAATAAGGCTTTGTCAAACTGAGAATCTATTTTTTTATTTTACTAAAACAGTTTTTTATGCTTATAAAAGTACTTTATAGAGTTTTTTACTGTTTCATTGTCACATAGAGCAGTCTAAAGAACTTTAATTTTAGCGACAACATATGATCCATGTACTGATTGTATTCCACCAAGAGCAAATGTGCTTATTCTTATTGATGCATCAAACGCCTTAAAATTAGATCAGGTATAATGCTTTAAAGTTGGGCAAAAGAATAAACAATTTTTACAATTTTTAAATTTTTGCTGCTAGCTTAATTTTTATTTATGAATACTGAGCGTTTCTATACGTGCCTGTTAATTATTTCAATCATCTACTAAGTTTTTGATAATAAATAATTTTTTAATATCACAACAAATAAAATAATCTTTTTTTTAGCACAGAAAAACTGTTTAATAATTTTTCTTTGTTTGCTCATGAGCCATTTTACGCCAAATCGCGCAAGTTTGAACCTCGACTTCTCAAATTTTTTTCATTTTTTAACCACTTGTAGCACTCAATACCAAACTTCAAAATCAAAAGAGTTTACCTCAAAAAGTGTGCTGTTGGCAAAGTTAGACCGTTCTAAAGTGCGGAAAAAAAACGAAAGTCATCTTTGACATGGTCTCCTTTGATTATCTGTGTGTTTCGCAGTTTGCAGCAGACTCATTTTTACTTTATTTGAAAGCTTGTCTCTTGCAGATTCAAGAAAGTAGTGACACACCTATATCAGCAAATTTTATTTCAGATTAAGATAAAAACAAAAATTTAAAACGGTTTTTCAAAAAACAACATTACAAATTTTTTTAAAAGAAAAAACATATTATTGAAAGGTATAAT